AACTGTGTTTTATTTTTTCATAGATGTAAAAAAGAGTGTTTTTAACATTTCCTTTATTAATACCTACTTCTGTCACACTAATTTTTTTAAAAGCCCATTTGCTGGCTTCTGTGACAGCAAATCTGGATTAATGACAAACCAAGACATTAAATCCGGCTCACATGAGAATACGTACTTCTTTAAGCAAGCACACTGCGTGTCGTTTATTGATCATCCTAAATGGGTCCTAAACACCAACTGAGGTTCAATGGAAAACTGAAAAGGGCTAAAACCCCAAAGTTACATTTCCGTGAACAGAGTGCTTCCAAGTACAAAGAAAGTGAATGCCCAAAAGGCTCACCGGTACTGGGGGCAGCTGCACGCTGCCTTTCTTTTTGTTCATTCTCATACAAAGTCTTCATCAACAACTGGAAATGCTAATTGCACTTGCCCATGCCTGGCAGGTTTTGTTATTGTTAGGTGGTGTGCGAGTCACATGTCTGCCTAAAACCAAACTGATATTATTATAAACTAGTCAGTGAAAGCCAGCATAACATCACCAGGCTAAAGACTCAACACAAACAACCACCTTGGAATGAAAATCTGAGGCTTTGCTCCAACAAGAAAGCCATGCCCGTATTTTTACTTCCCTGATTTCAGACGAGGACTTGCAAATTTGCTGAGTGACTCCGGCTGCAGCAGTTCTTCGTAAAATAAAAAGTGTGGCACACAGTAAACAAATTTTAAGAGCTAAAAAAGAAAGCAGAAGAAGCAATGGGAAAAGAGATTCGTACAGACTCTTAGCAAGTGGCCTTAGAGGAGTCTGCAAGTAGGACTAGATATATATGTTTAAGATGCATGTTAAAGAAAAAGAAAAAGATGCATGTTCTGGTGACTGGCCTGAGATGGCCCACAAATTTCCCTGTAAGATTGAAAACTCTTCTTTAGAAATTCCAAGACTTTAAAAATTAACCTGCTTCAGAAAAGTCCAGTACTTGAAATGAATTAAACCATACTATGAATTAAACCATTAATACCCTAACTGAATGAATTTACCCTTTAGGATGACAAGTAACCATGTTTATTAAACAAAAATGCTCCACGAAATAAAGCCTCCTTCATTTTCTATAGTGTTAGGCTTCCGACGGGCGGCACGTCGTTGCTAATATGTGAATACTCCCCATTAATTATTGAAAAGCCCATCGATCTCCACATTGATGAATAGTTATAATTATAAATATGGCTTAAGGAATCAACCTTTTACTTTGCTGACTCTTTCCTGTGGAAAGAGGTATCAACTGTACGTATTAAAGCTATATACTCAATGAACAGTTGATAACATAAAAACCTGCTAGTATATTCCAAGAAATGCTGCTCTTGATGTCCAACATAAATGTCAATTCTCTTCTGGTGCCAATGGTTGGGACACACATTATCTGTGTTTCTGCTTTGTATTTATCATTCACAGTTCTGGAAAATATGACTGGAACTCTTCACTCCCATGAAGATTCATTCCCTGAATGCAGGTCTAACTAGAAAGAAAAATTCACCTCCTACCAAAAGCCCCCTGAGGAGGATGACATTAGAATGGCACAGGCTTTATTGTGTCCTTTATTGTGGATGTCAAAGGTGTGATGCTTGCAAGCTTAACCACTCAGGTTCTCAGACCTGCTAGAATGCTCCTCACTGAATCTCGGAACAGAGAGGGGATGAAACCAGGCCTCTCCAAAGGAACCAGACAAACTCGCATCCACTGGAGAAAAGGAAGCAAGGCAGAGGCAGCTGAATACTGGCATAAATATATCAGATAACAAAGGTCATTAAAATTGAAGTGACTAGAAACCCCAACAGTAGGTGCCACCCACGGAAGGCAGTGCACGGGCATGCAGCAAGGAGCACACCGGCACCTGCCCTCCAGGGCCCACTTCTCTCTGACCACAACAGCAAAGCCTGTCTAGGTCCATCTCAACATTCAAATCCCGCCATCCTCTACTCTGCCCCGAAAACACACAACTCGGTGAACACACGGCTTACTATATTTTTAAAATAAAAAATTGCTTCCTTCTATGTAATTAATAAGTTGCTATTCCTGTGCTCAGCGAAGACAAAAAGAAACAATAGAGAAATCTGCGTTGAATACCTAACATATTAGCCTAAGCTAACATAGTGAATGAAACACATGGTACCAAAAACAACTGAGACAACAGAAAGAAACAGCTGAGAGAATAATCCTCTTTCTAACCAAGGAAGTACACTGGCACATGTACGTCTTTCCATGGATAAAGCCAGTAACAATGCTACCTCTCCAAATTATGTTGCCTAATGAAAACAGCACCAAAATGGTAGTTGACCTCATCTCTAAACACCTTTGAATACGTGGCCAAGTCATATATAACAAATTCACAATACTATTTTGTAAAGTTTAAATCTTAGTACAAAAATTACTAACCTGCCATTCTAAAAATGAACATACTATACTGATTCACGACATAAAATGCCAACTAGAGAAACTAAGTAAAATACATAAAATCCTATGATGATAGACAGAATACCTCTCTTAACTGAAAATCAAGCTTAACTATCCATGTCTTATAGAGTACAGTTAGTCTATGAAGCGCCACGGTACTAGCACTTTTCAGCACCCTTAACACAGTGCCAAGGCATTGTTTCAGTTGAGTTTTCTGACTCACTTTAAAGCATCTTCATTGTTAAGGTTGCAGCGAAGTGATGGACAGATGCATACAGTTTTGATTTGGAGGAATAACTCCTTACACAAAGGGCCAGAAACTTGAAAATAAGAGAGGCAAGTGTTTCTTTTCTCTCCCAAGTGGTATTTTGCTTCCCACACTCCAAGCACTGCAGGCATACTCTGAACTCTAAAACAATGTTCCCTGCCAATTCAAAAAATGTAGTCATATTTGGGAGGGAACAGGCCAAGATGGCCAAAAGATACCTGCAAAATGTTCTCTGAGTTGTCTAACACGCCCTTTCTGTCACTCATCAAAGTCCTGGCCAAGCAACTCCAAAGTCATGGGGATCTCCAGACCCTCACACCACATCATTACAAAGCTGAGAGCTAAAGCAGACCGATACCCATCCCTGGGATCCAAAGCCAAGCAACGTCTCACCTTCCCCTAGCATCGCATTACAAAAATGCCAGGCAGCAGCAAGAAATGACAACAAAGCCATAAACAGCTGGAAATAATTACACAATTGTCAAGCTGCAAACAGGACAAAAGCAAAGCAAGGCTAGTGAATGCAATATCAGAAAAGATGCTGATGAGAAGGTAAGAGAAGCATTTTAGCTGTTTCCAATTTGATATTATAGAATAACCAATAATAGAGTTGATGGGGTGGGGTGTGTGTGTGTGTGTGTGTGTGTATGTGTGTGTTCTAACTTCAGAAAAAAAGGAATAAACATCTTCATGTGGCTATCAAGTGTGAGCTAGACAAAATATGTAAGCATGCATACACACACACACACACACACACACACACACCCCATTCACAGGTTCTGAAGGGAATCTTTCAGGATTACTACAGCTACAATATGCAGATGAAAACTATTCCTTTAAAGTTATACAAAATGTTCTCTTCTTTAAAAGCACAGGGAAAATAACACAGGCAACGCCACAGTCCGGAACACTTCACATAAAACATCTCATAACCTGGCCAAAAGCCAAAGCAGAGTACGGACTGGGACTTACCCAGATTAAAAGAATGAGAGGGAACGAGGTAGCTCCTATAAACTCTGAGGGTTACGAGCATGTACGTTATCATCTTCTACAAAGACACACAGCAGCAGCAAGTTTACATCAACAGTCTTGAAGCCAATGAACACCTTCCCAAATTACAAAGGCAAGCAAACAATTGCTGGCAATTTTGAAGCCAGCATACCTTGTCATCCCATTACAGGATGATGTTTTATTATGATATTTAGATTTTATATGACAAACTGTCTCATATAATGGTCCCCAAAAATGCTATTCTCTGAAACGGAATGCCATAAATAAAATACATACTGGGTTACCAGGCAGCACACACAACACATATGGTACACCGGCCCCAGAAACCCATTTAAAAACACTTAAAAGTTAACTTAACAATCTAAGCTGTTTGTACCCATTTTCAGAGAATTATCCCCAAAAGGCCAATTTTATTTTCTATCGCCAAGAGAACACTTGAATTAATCCTGTTGATTTCCTAACTTGAAATTCTCTTAAAAGCCCTTCTAGTCTCTCCTCCCCGGTTCATTCTTTTTATTTCTTGGGAGGAAGAACCAAGGACCACATATCTCACCATGTAATTTTAAACATAGTGCTGCCTGTTCGAATTAAAATTGATGCAGCTTCTGATAAAAGCCTAATAATCAATTCTCCATTCTCATTACTCCCCAGAATGATATGGACGCAGACCAAATTCTTAAGTTTGTGGGCCACGCTCCTAGGTTATTACCCGGCTGTGCAGCTGAGTGGAAAGATAACCACATTCATTCTCCTTATCTGTAATGATGTAATGCATCCCGGCCCTGGGTCTAGATGATTGAAGAATAATGGGATTGTACAACTGCAGAGATGACAAACAATAGTGCGTGTGTTTCTCTGATATACGGAACCCCACGCGGCCGCCGATGCATAGTGAAAAGCCTCCTAAAACAGGCACCGATATTCCGCCGGTTGGATGAAGTTAGCATTTTTTGGCCTGACCAGCATCTGCTGTCAAACTGAAACAGCAATACCGGCACTGAGAGCTGTGTGAAAGCACTCAGTCGCCAAGCCCCGGCCAGGACAGTGAGAGTGAGTATCCTGCTTCTCTTTGTGTTTAGAATCAAGTGTCATCTAAAAATAACCGGTTGGTAGGGAGAAGTCACTGCACAGCACAATGCCAAGAAACTGAGATCAGAGACGCTCCTCTGATAACTGATGCAGCTCTGGGGCTCACGTTTGTTTGGAAAACTAAATCTGCCTCCATTTTCTGTGCTGGAAAAAAATCATTGCTTCCTGCCACCACGGAAACCTTACCTTTTGCAGAAGCTGGGAGCCCGAGTACTTAGCAGCAATGGATTTGATCTCCCCACCAAAAGCGGAGGCCCACAGCTTCACCCTACGGGGAGAAAGGGCACAAAAAGAAACGTAACACTCGTGTCACAGCCAACAAGCGCACACACACACTCTCTCTCACACACACACGGCTGTGGGGAAGGGGTAGGGCTCTATCACACTAAGCAAAAGGGGGAAAAAGAAAATACGCCTCGGTACAAACCACCAACATCAAACTGCAGAGCGCAACGCGGGAAGGGGTCTGAGGTGGGTCACAGAGTTCAGAATGCACGAAGTCTGCCAGGCTCTCCCAAAAGCCCACTGGTGTCATATCAACCATTGCCCTAAGGAACTGAACACCCGACACGCTCATCACCTGGCAAATACTAGTAGGAGGCCATCCACCCATCCCCCTCCCCCAAAAGGAGCAAGCGAGGCAGAGAAGGGGGTGATTTAATAGCCCACGGAAGTTGGAGTCGGTAAACAGGCTCCAAACTTGGCGCTGTCACTTGAGGTGAGCCTCTCCGGGTCTCACTCGCTAACCCGCGGGAAGGGGCAAGAGGATCCCACCCGGCCTGGCCGCCCGAGCCGCCCGCGGGGACGCAGGTGCGAGAGGCGAGAGGCGAGGCCGGCGCCCGCGGCAGTTCCCGTGCAGCCGCACCTGCGGGCGCCCAAACTTGGGTACAGCGGGTCGCGGCGGCGGCTGGGTCCCCTCCCGGGGCGGCGGCGCCGGCACTTACACGGAGAGCGGAATCTGCTGCTCCGAGAGCACCACGTCCCCCAGCGCGGCGTAGAGAAGCGCGGCGGCCAGAAGCGCCGAGGCCCCCCGGGACCCGCGGCGCGGAGAGCCCGGCCGGGCCATGCTGGGTCCCTCGGACGCGC